GGGGGGGGGGGGGGGAGAGCGCAGAGAGAGTGAACGAGAGGAGAAGGATGAGGAGGAGGAGTAGTATCGGGCCCCTGCGAGGGACAGGCTCCAGCACGCCGGTTTCGACCGCATGGCCCCTCCCGGCGCTGAGAATACCAAACCCTGTGATTACCCAAAACACACAGGGTCTGACTGGGTCTCCGAGCCAGCGCTGCTTCCCACTCGGCTGCTCGGGACTGTGGGGGAAGTCTCTGCTCACTATTCTGCCTTATCTGCAGTCCACCGTTTCCCCTGAAGCCAGAATAAAATCCTGTCCTAATTGTCACTTTGATAAGACTTCTACAGGTTTCACCCAAAACAACTTGCTGACAGGCTCTGGCCTCTCCAGACTCTCCGTTTAACCAACGACAGACTGGGGGAAAATGTTCCTGAGGTTTTTAAGTCTAAACTTCCTGCGCAGGCTAGACGCGGAAAAAAGAGAAACCTTGATCTTGTTATTGCTGAGAAAAGAAGACATTTGGTATTTCCTCCTCTCCTACTGTAAATGATCTGTTAATAAACAGTTTTCACCTGACAAGTCTTTCCTCTCAAAGCCAATTACAATGACACAGCAAACTCCTCAGAGAATACAGAGCCTTGAGGGATCTTATTACCACCTGAATGATGTCATTAAAACACTCAGAAAAAGCCGCCCAAAGAGACAATTGCATTTGAATATGCAGAGCAGCTTGTAATGCCACGCGACAGCTTCCTGCATTGAGTGTGTGTAAAGTAGTGTACACACACATGAGAGCACACACACACACCACACAGAAGCAAGCTCTTCCCTGTGGATATTTCCCCTCCTGCTTTCAATTAGAGAGCATATCATTAAGATGCATGACTAAGTGTAAGCGGAGAGCAGAAGACCCCCTGCTGACAGGATTAAAACACTTCTGTTTAGTTAGAAATGTAAATCTACAACATCTTGAGCCAACATTTAGAGTTCAATGTTCTAAATAGTTTTAAAAATAAACAGCGACAGTTATAATCTTTCATAATCTGGATTTTCAGTCTGAAAGAGGCTTTTCTAGAACATGATGATATAGTCAGTAATAATCATCAGTAACAGTGTACGTGTTGGGTTGTCACTCCTCTCCTCACTCACTTTCCAAAGCAGTACGCAGGAATGCAGTGACCGTCGGGGAGCCGGGCTCCTGCTAAAACCCCAACAGGGCAGAACAATAATGCTCTTTTAAACAGCTGAGAGCGGCAACCTGTTTGAAAAGTGGAGCTTTACGCACGTTACAAATGCTGACGAGCCTTTCATCCTGATAGCCGTAGCTGTCTGCGGCCCCTGAGCCAGGCTGCCAAGAGAGAACAGGAAGGGGTCGGGGATAATTCCTGGACTCACCGGCCACATCCAGGGTCTGTAGGTCAAAATGCATCCTATGCCGGCTTGTGAATGCATGATGAGTCTATGAACATCCCGCTGTGCTGTTTACACTCCAACCTGCTTTATGAACCAAGGATTCAAACAAAATATGTGCAGCACACCCCTCTGAATTTACATAACAACATGTTTTATGAGTCATGCACGTGAGGCTATGTCAATACGAATAAAGTATGTATGCACAAAAACAAGTTCCACCCTATTGTCAGTTCAACAAGGCGATCAGGTGACGATGTAATGTCGGTTAAACAGGGTTTGCAACTTGAAGAGCAAAACATATTGTACTTCTTTGTTTAACAGACACCTGCATCACTGCCAATCATGCCTGGGAAATATTTTATTTATGTGTGGTGGTTGTTCTTGTTACAATTCAAAATGCTGGAAGGGAAGGAGCTTCAGTTTTAGAATAACTTTTACAGGATGACTTGGTAGCTTGGTGGGCAGATGCATGTGGCATGGAGTAGTTCGTTTTGTGGCGTGACATGGCTTTAAATCTGGCCAGGGACTTTTCCTCATTCCCGCTTATACTGTCGGGAAAGACGGGAACATGCCACAAAAAGAGTTAAATGAAATGATGATGCATTTAACAATATGGAACTTCTGATTCTTCACTTAAAAATATCTGTCTTACTGTAACAAACACCTCTCTCCTTAAACACATTGTGTGTACAGTGAGTGTTTGTCCCAGTTGTGTCCGTACAGCCTGGCCCCCCCCCCAACACTCACATTCCTGTTTGTGGCATTTCTTAACTGTGTCATGGAGTCATCCGGGGTGGGAGAGGGGATGGTAAAACCAGGAAAAAAGGGTACAAAAAAAGAGGAGGTAATATTCCACATAAATGCCCACACACACTGCGATGAGATCATGTGGGTGCCCTGAATTCTGAGGGCATGGTGGGGGGTGGGGGATGTACAGCTTTCCACAACACCTCGCTAAAAGTGGCAGTTGAAGCCCCCCCTTCATCTGTCTTAAGCCACTAATTAGTAACCCTTCCAAGGAAGGAGAGGGTCAATATGCCACCAGGACAGAATCACACAGACGAAAGCACACGGCAGCTGTGTTAAAATAAGAGAGAAGTGCGGCAGAGAGATATAGATTGTTGTGTAGAGGAAGCTTAATCGACCTCAGTTACAGTGTATGCACAATGTTTATCAATGCATTATGTATGGCATATATTTCTTTGAAAGTGTGTTAGAAATACTGTAAGCTTCGTAAGTAAACGGTCTTTACAGAAATAAAATGAAGATTAAAGTAATATTTTGCTTTTTGTATAAATATGTAACTGATTTGTCTTCATACGGGTGGCTGTTAGCCTTGTAATATGCATTGAGTCATTGTTTACACACCTGTGTTTACCACTACATCACAACAATTCATGCCAAACTAAAAATGAATCAGAATAAAAAATGTCACATATACCCACTACCGGTGGATTAACCACTCTAGTCGGTAAGTGACAGCTGTCGGAAATGTTAAAGTGATACGAGTTTGTAGATATATACAGTAATAATCTAACTATGCATCTTAATCAATATAAACCACAAGTGACCCCACAAAGCTTTCTGAAAAGTACAAAAAATCCAGTCAGTAAAACAGAAACAGCGTGAAGGCAACACAACTTTGTGACACTGAAAGGTTAACGAACCTGTCGACAGCTGAGTGGTTAACATACTTCAAACAATGGCTACAGATACACAGATGTTGACAGGCGTGGCTGAGACCATCCCACAGAGCGGTTTCTTGAGAATATTCTGCTGATATCACTGTGTGTGTAATCTCATTTTTGGAGAAGCACACAAATCACCGCCAGCAGCAAACAAATCACTTGCATAATCATCTTGGCTGCTTACAAGGTCTTTTAATTTATGATGATTTGATGATTAATCGGTTAGTTGAGAGTTTTTTTCTCTATTACACTGCATGAAGCCATTTCAAATGAATCTGCCTTATTGGCGTACATTTAAAAATGCAAAACAATGGATCTGAAAAATAACCAAGCATTACCTACTTTGGCAATGCATACAGCAAGTCCATCTTTCAGTTATCCGATTGAAAGAAAAATAAACGTGCTAAGTATTTTTTGATTGAATCCTATCAAGTAAAAGTAATTATTTGCGCAAAAATAGCAGAAAATGCTGCTTTCATCCACTTAAGTCTGGAAATTGAACATCTTTGGGTTTTGGACTGACAAACTGAAATTAAAGAAATCACCTCGGATTTGAGAAACTGGGATGGCTATGTTTTCACAATTTAAAAAAAATGTCATAGATCAAACATCTCTAGTTGGAGTCCTATTTTCATTATTATTATGGCCTGCAAATAAACGAGTAAATCCACAGATCATTGAACTGCAGCGACAGACTCATGCTTTAAATCACAGACTCCGCGTCCGGCCACTAGAGGAAGTTGGGCTGAGCTCTCCTTACCCGGGGCTGATGAGAGCTCTGGATGGGCCCGGTGGGCATGGCGGGCGGCGGCTCTGAGCCCGCGGCCCTGCGGAGCACGGCCAGCCAGATGCAGCGGGGTTCAGGCGCGCTGCAGTCCACCCCCACCGGGTTCTGGAAGCTCCAGTCGGACCCGGCCGGCACAGCGCAAGGGAGCGTAGCAGCTGGCATCGAGGCGCGGCGTTTTCTCAGATCTGCATCCTTCCCCGCCCGCATGGGCTACACACACTCTCCACACAAGCTCGTGGACAACCTCCAGATAAAGAGACAATCAAGCAAAAAGAGAAGACGGGGCGATTTTTCGTGGAGCTTGCAAATCCTCCTCTGGGATCCTCCAGTCAATCAAGAGTCTGAACTTCTCGTCTCCCGGCTCCAATCCATCTCTGACACTGCCACTCCAGAAAGTTTAATCCCACAGGTTCCACATCACAGACTCCTCCTGACCTCCGGGAATCAGCTCTCCAAGACTCTCACACGCATTTGAACCCTCAGAGGAGACCAGAGGCAGCAGACGGCAGGCTCCTGGGCAACAGATGGAGGAGTGTGTGTGTGGCAGGGAGCAGAGGTAGGTCTGATTTCACTACACACACACACACACACACACAGAACAACTGACAGCGTCCCTCCCGCTGGTGTCCGGTGATGTTCTGCATACAAAGCCACTCTGTCCACCCCCAAAACACACACTGCTGTCCCAGAGGGCTGGATCCTCTGTCTCTCCTCCCTCCCACTGCGCTCTCTCTTTCCTCTTTCTCTTTACTTCCCTCTTTCTCTCAAGACCGACCCCTTCACCTAACCGTCATCTCTACCCAAAACTCTCCTTATCTCAGCGAGCATCAGCTATGTCATCCCTCGCTCTGTCTCTCCGTTTAGCTTTCTCTTTCTTCTTTGTTTTTGCTACTCAATCCCTATCCAAACAATCACTCACTCCCTCTGAATGAACCGGCCCGACAGTCGTCAGCAAACAAACAAACTGTAATGTACAGTAAACTCTGCACTTTAATCCAAGAATACAGGTCATCCCTGAGCGGATGGGGGCTCCAGATGGAGATCTCTCCGGCAGACTAAATCCACTCTAGATCTTTGTAGAGGGAGCCTGGTGGTCGCACGTGTGCAGCATGTGTGTGCGCGAGCGGCACAAACAAAAGTGACAAAGCTGTGATCCCCGCGCTAAACTCCACAAAAGCCGGACCTGCCTTCGCTGTCTGCCCTCCACCCAGAGGGGAGACAAAAAAAGAGAGAAAGAGGCCAATTTCCAGCACAAAGAGAAAAGAAAACATTTGCCTTGCTGCTGTATTCTCTCTCTTTTCGCCTAAGAGGAAAAAATGAGGGCAGACGATAATGAGAGAAGAAAATGGAAAAAAGAGGAGCGCTCTCAAAAATAAAACGGCTGCTACTGGATGTCAACATGACCTCTCTATCCAACTCCCACACCACTAAATCTGTCAGAAAGGTGACCTCGCCCACGCCACACAGTTCTCACCAAACAGCCAGGCGTCCAGTATCCATGCGAGAACGGCAGACAGGTGACCATGTTGATGAAGACTTTCCCCTCCAACGCTCATCGCTGTTAACATGCCACACATCCGTTACCAACGAGGTTAGACAGGTTTCACCTGCCGCACAGCGGGCAAGTTCCAACTTGACTGAAGCGAGCCGTCATCCCGCAGAGACTGTACGCGCTGGATATGCTGCACGTTGTGTTAAATACACTGCGGGTTGGAATAGTTGATGAGGTCATAAATAAATAAATGTTAGAGTTAAAAACTGCAGGCTCCAACGAGCTTAATTAAATCAAAAGATCCAGGAATTCCATGCAATCTTATAACTTTTATTTTTGATCTTCCTTGCTTCAATAAAATAAATATTAATTTACAAGAGTCTAGAAGATAATAAAATGTCTTCTCGTTTTCAAGATACTCACAAGACGTTATTTTAAGCGTTATTGAGGCAAGCATAAGCTGGAAAAGAAAGTGCCTGATAAAGAGCTGCCTGAAGGCCTCTTGTTGTTTTGCTTTGATCAATTCAAAAGTTGGTTTGACAGATAACTGACATTTGCATCTGAAGTTCAACATCAGCTAAAACCAGCCATTAAAAGCAACTGGTTAACTCATACCTGCCCAAATAGGGCTGTAGTATGAAAACCAAAAGGTTGTGAGAAACATCGTGTTATTTCTCTGTTCAAAAGATACACAGCGTCCCTTTAATCTTTTCTGTAATAATCACATATTAGGTTTAGGTGGATGTACACTCCCCATTAACTTGGGTTTGAATAGTAGCACACACTTTCACCAAAACACACACATTCAGAATCCTCGTTTACAATGGCTGCTTACCCCGTTCACGTACGCACACACGCCACATGTCCAACTGAGTCCCCAACTTGTTATAAATAAACTTGGCTATGTAATTAGGTTTCCTCATAAAGTCAGGAGGCTGTGGGGATTTCTCTGCTTTCTCTCTGGGTCAGAGCCGAGCTCCACGCTCTTCTCTCTACCGGGCAGAACCACCCTGCAGGAGGAGGTCCGACTGTCCTCATGCAGGGAGAGACGCGAGATCAGAGGAAATCACAGACGGCTGCCAGTGAGAGGAGCAGCAGCAGTCAGATTATAGTGCATTTCTGGTGGAGAGCCAGACTAGGGCTTATTATTTGAAATCTCATAGGTGCTCCATTTCATAGTGGCAGCAAGGAGTTGGAATTTCATCATCACGTGTTTTACACTAACAGTTTTGGCAAGGAGGGAGCAGGGCCTAATTTGGAAACGAAGGGTCTGTTTCCACCCCTCTATTTCTATTCTTCATGAACCATGGAGGCATTTACCAAAAGAGGAGGGCGAGAGTGAAGAGAGGGGTTGACAAAAGAAAAATGATCAAGAAGGCGTTTGGTTACAGTTTACATGGAGGACACACAGTCACACATGAGGAGTTGTGACAACAGCATCCCCTCCCAGCAGTGACCCACACACTGCACCCTGGAGACGTCACAGACTAATTACTAATTATTATTTTATCATGACCAAGCAGCCTAAAGCTCTTCAAGTCAGGAAATCAAGGGCCAACACGTGCTGCTAATCTCCGAGCAGAGATGCTTCGTTGCCTCCTGTCTCAGCCCCCCTCTGCTCTCTGACAACAAACACATCAGTGGAAAAGTGAAAGGGGTGAGGAAGGAGGGAGGGAGGAGGAGAGAGGAAGGTAAAGCAGTTGTTAGTGTAACAGACAGATTAGTTTGGTGATATGTTTTAATCCCCTTACACATAACATAACTGCGGGCCAACAGATTAACACAGAGGCCTCCCTCCTCCTTCTTTCCACTGCAGGTCCCTCACAAGACAGAACAAGGTTTCTCTCCTCTGAGGTGTGAGGAGGAGGAAAAGGCTGAGGCCTGACAGGAAGTACACAGGAAAGAGAAGAAGAGCCTTTAGTTAGCATGTCAACAATATAGGCTGCAGACACAACGATGGGGTGTTTTCTCTAAACACAGGCTGCAACAAGTCAGAAAAAGTGCGGAGAGGGTCAGTGAAGGCTGCGGTTGATGCTCACAATGAAAATCCTAAAAAGGGACACATAAAACAAAGAAAGGGCTGAAAGACTACATTTATACTCCTATCTGAATCTATAAAAGTGGAGAAGCATTCTCAGCTCTCAGTGGGAATCATGTCCCCTACTGGTGAGAGAAACACTGATCACTCCTGACTCAACATGTGGCATGTGAGGTTTCATAAGGTTGATGCAGCAGCCACATAAACGATGCGTCATCACATTGTTGCTATTAGTGAAATAGGTGAACCACACAAATATGAGGCGGTTATAAAACACTATGAAAAAAACCTGCAAAAGAGTTCAAAGGATAACTCAAATTTAGTAATTTGATTATTTTTTAAGACATCGTTTGATTTAAAAAAGATTCTGCAACCATTATTTCTGATGACAGGCAGAAAATGCATTGGAAATAGAAAAAAAGGAGAATAATACTATTTGAAAAACCATTTATTGATAGTAATTATTTTTTCATTTTTAAATAGACAACAATAATCGAGATTTGGCAGAAATAGCTGGTTTTAGCTCGTCAAATATGTCCTGCTTTCCTCTGTTTTAAATCCTGGGGCTTTAAATTGACAAAACAAGACCTCTAAAGACATCACTTAGGGCTTTAACAAACTTGGATGGACATTTCTTTGACTATTTTTAAACATCAAACAGTTGATAATTATTTTCCTAAACGTCACATGGATAATGAAAATAATCACTAATCCAAAATGTAAAAAGTTTTCAGATTTAGAATCAAGAAACATAAGCATTTTATGAAGGAGGGATGGAGTCAGTCTCTCTGTCTAGACAGTTATTATCAATCGTACGAGTGGGTTCTACAAAAAAAGTGAAAAAATGGACATGGGTGTTTTTAAGCTGGTTATTTATTTTGAACTGTAAATCCCCCTGCCACAGAATCTATGAGGGTCTTTGGCATGTCAGAGGTTAGTCAGCAGCCACTAGAGGGCAGCTACAACACACTGACAGCAGGAGGGTGGGGAAGAGCCCAGAGGCACATGGGACACAGCAAAGGGTGGGGCGTAAACATGCAGCCTTGAATATCCTAAAGCCCTAGGATTTTCTAAATGAGATGACATAAAACAGAGAAAAGCAGAACATATTTGTGGAGCTTAAAAGTAATTTCTAACAAAACCCGTCCAGTTTCATCTTTCCTGTGCATTTCCTTTTGTTTGGCTGCAGCGGCAAAGGAAAGTGTGTGCAGGGCGAGTCGACCTCTGAGCAGTTATCTGTGCTCTTTGGTCGGTTACTAATTGATAACTCCAGTGGGGGGTGGGAGGCAGCGGCTGCAGATCAGAGAGGTCACACCTGCTGTGGGCTTTGACGTGGAAACAGTCTTGGGAAGTTCAGAGACGAGAGCAGGTGGACTAGCAGACAAAATGTGCAAGGGTTCAGATATCCCATCAACCCACAGCTGAGGGGAGCAGGGTGGTCCGCCCCTCCCTGACTGACCGGGACTGATTCAATAACAACAACAACAACAATAACAACAACAACAATGCACAGCTTACTGCTGCAGACCACAGGATTAAAGCGGTTGATGAAGCCCACCTGACCTTGTGTTCCTCCTTGGAAATCTAAAGCATTATGCATGCATTCTTCACATGAGCGTGTTAATGCCATGATGCCATGCGAGTCCCGTCGGCGTGGAAACCCAACATATCTGAAAATAACTCTTCATTGACCTTTACCTCACGTGTTTTTAATTTGTGGTGTAAATCATAGTCAACTTGCACACTTGTATTATCAATCAGGCAATTATTTTCTTGATTATTTCGTTTTAGATCCAATGTCAACAAATAGCAGATAGCTGTCAGGTCACAACCTTTCTCAACAAAAGGTGACCCTCTCTTGAGGAAAAGCAAAATATTTTCCTCACACAAAACAGCAAATATTCACATTTGAAAAGTTGAAAGCAGTGTTTGTCCAAATGTTGCAGTCTCCAGCTTCTCAAAAGTGAAGAATTGCTTTACACAGATTGTTTGTGGATTGTCGGGAAAACAGAACTACCAATTTCTCTCGAGGGTATGTCATCAAATGTCTTGTTTTGTCTGACCAACAGCATAGATTACAGCAAATCATTACTTTGGAGAAGCTGAAACCAGAGATGTTGCCATACCATCAATTGATAACATTTATTAAATTAGTTAGAAACA